ACAGCTGCCTTTTTGCCATGCAGAAAGGCCATAACAATAATTTTAATCATGAACAAAAGCAACTTAGAAACCCTTATTGCAGATTTCAGTGGCAGGGAAAATATTCCTATTACATTCCAAAGAAAGCAACAAGTTTATCTGAGCGTATGAGGGGACTCTTCTGTACACAGCTGAAACTGCATGTACCCCAACTGCTCTCTTTTGTTTTCTCCAGCCATCTGTTATTTACATTTTCCAAATACACTTAAATCAAATATTCCATTAGTCAAAATCCTGCATAACTCAGCGTGACTTTTTCAGTATCTAGACAAGGCCTAATTTTTAACAGCTCAACAAGAAACACTGTTCATGAAGCACTCATTGGGTGTTACCTTTAGCAGTGCATTCCACCTCACTCTCCCTTTCCTTCCCACTCACCAGTCTGGCAAGGGATGCTACTAAACTGCAGATCTACTGTGATGCACCTCTGAAGAACATGAAGCCTATAAACATCACATCAGTCTCTTGAGACAGGGTTCCACTCCACCAGAATTTAGCTTCAGTAGGGGTCCCTTTGGGCTCACATTTCACTGTGCATAGATCTAAAAACCTCCCCTATGGGCTTACAAAATGCAGAAGAGAAGGTAGACAAGAAATGGAGCAGGTGGGATTCCCCAAGGAACAGGGAAAAGGTGATCAAAATAAGAAGGGCTAAAGAAAATTTGCAACCCCTTCTATCAAGACCCTAGCTCTGAAAAATGTGTTTTCAGTATAACCCTCCCATGTTAATTACCAACAGTTGTAGGAAAGAAGCAACTAAATAATTCCAGAGCCAGATAAATTACTCATGTAAGTATTTTATATGTTTGCAATGTTATCTATCTGGCTGGGATTTAAACTGCCATTTAAAGTCAAAACGAAAATGCAACCTCACCAGTAATTCTTGGAAGAAGCCAATTTAAAACACAGCAAGACATTGATTTTCTTTTTATCCAAGCACAACAACATATTTGCACTCCCAAGTGCTTTTCATATATTACAGAACACTGACTGCAGGCAGCTACTGTTCTTTAAGAATTCTTCTATGCACAGGAAACTCACAATATCTTCGTTACAAAAAATATTGCCCTGTATTTCCTGAGATAAATGGCCTTTGAGTTAGAAGAACACAGAAGTAAAGTTCTATTTCTTTAAGAAGGCAACACACAACCATATAAGACCCCTAGCACCTATACAGCTAATCCTGTTCTTTGAATGGTTACATTAATGTAGTAATTCTGTCCTGTTAGAAACTAAGTTATCCCTAACCAGGACTATTTAGCACACAGGCTTCAACTTTTGAAGGCTGTAACTTTATAGGGAGTTGGAGCAGTCTGCAGTACTGTGAGTGGTGCATTCCTGAAACTCTCCTATACCAGTGTAATGTTAACAGAAAAGGCTGAGTGGTGATGTAATGTCTGAGGGCATGCCAGAGTCAAGACACTTTTTGTTTGATTCACAGGGTACAAGTTATTTCTCCCCACCCCTATCCTTTTGTGCTTGTATTTACTATTGTGCTTGTATTTACTATTTGCTGCTTTTTAAATTAGGTTCACAAGGACTAAGACAATAATCACTTTAGAGGAAAACAACAGTTTGCAAGGACACAAAAAGAAACAAAGCTGTTCATCTTCCAAGATTGCTGTCACTTAGCTTGTGCTACAACCCAGGCACTCAAAATACCTGCAACAACTCAAAACCATCTAAGCACTTCAGAATGTGTTATTTTAAACATAATAATGATAAAGATAATAATTATAATAACGACCATGATTTGGGTTAACAGGTGAATCTTTCTGAGCTTTAATTCTTAAGGCATTAATGTTATTTTATTCCTTGACAAGAGGTCTCAATCTACTTGCATCCCAGATACTCCACTACTCCAGACCACTGCACACCTACTGGTGGCAGTATCTCTCCTCTAGAGTGCAAAGTCAGGAGTTCTGGATTCAAGTCCTGTTGAGTACTTGTCACACTCTATGGGCACTAAAGTGACAATACTGAGAAAAGATTAGTATACAGACCCTAACTGCCATCAGCTGACAAACCAATAAAACTCTTTCCAAACTAGGAGTCTGTGTTTCATTTGTGTAAAGAAATTGTAATAATTTAACACACATAGTTTGTCAAAGTAAGCATAAAACAACTGATTATTATGGGAACTTAAGTATTTAATTTTTTAAATTTCTCTCAAAGAGAGGTCCTAAACTATGTACTTGCAGCTCAGAATCTGTTAATTTTTGCCATACTAGAATCCCACAGCTCCATATGGAACATAGAGTTATTTTCCTTCTCTGTAGATTTTCACCATGTTACAGCAAACTAAGAGACTAACAGTTGTGGGTTATTCAACGGGAAAACTTCCTGTGAGTAAACCTTTTTTCATGTACAAACTTCACACATAGACTAGCAAAGGTTGCAGTTCTGTGAGAGCAGAGTCTCACAGCACAGAATGGCCATGACTCCATCTCTCACCCAGACTCTGATCCCTTCCTTATATTGTACTCAAATGCTTGCCAGCACACTCCAAGTGTCTATATAAGTCATTAACCTAGGAAAAAGAAGAAAATACTTCTGCCAGGTTAGGAAGCTGCATCAGTGAAAGGTCTTGCATCACCTCTGCTGGGTAAGATAGGTCTCCCCCTTTCAGCAGTTCATTTTTTTTTCCACTGCAACTGCATTCTAGTCACTGATGAGTTAAGGATATCCCCTTCTTGTTAGTGTTAAAATAGAGGATCAAAATGCAACTTGAGGAGAGGAACTGACTGTGCAGACAACACAATTTTTGAACACGGGAAAGTCACATTTTTAAATTACTAGGCTCTGTGTGAAGTACTAAAACTTAACTATTAAAGATAGTTCAAAAGAGAAAAAAAGACTGACCCTTCAGTTTAATAAAGATGAAAAGAAAACCTGAAGATAGAGAAAATAGGAGTGCAATGAGAGAAAACTGCTAGAGGCCTTCCTGCCACAACTGCCACTCATGATTTGAACACAACTTGCTTATCCTTAGATCCCTTTAAATGAGCCTTAGCCCACACTAAGTTTTGATCCTACAAGAGAACACAAGCAAGGAATTCTATGAAGCTCACTCTGCATGGATCTCAAATGGAAGACATTCTTTATTAAGGCAAAGGACAGCAATATTAAATGATGCAGGGGTCTGGAACCAGATTAAATTTGAAACAGATTTCTTTGGTGAGTTCAGATTCATGGGAGGAGCCTTGTATGCATTATTTCATACCCACAAAATTCACCAAAAAGCAAAAGCATGCTAGTTGTATAGAAGGGCAAAACTCAAAAAGCATTGTAATTTTTTATTCATCTCAGGTATCTTAAAATAGGTTCCAACTCCAGCCTTCTTTTCTAGATACACCTGGAATTGGAATTGCATTCTCTGTAAAAGGCAGTCCCTAAAGACTATCTATAGTGTTAACAATCTTAGCTGAATTTGAGCATTACTGGACAGTTTTAGACATACAGAGCTGGACCACCCTGGCATTTTCTGCAACTTCATTATATTTTTTCCTTCCAGCTAGAAGATGGGTACAAGCAAGTACTTAAATGTCATATGCCACATCTCTCTAATATTCCATCTTCATCTTTCCTTTTAGCTTCTTACAGCATTAATATGGGGATATAAATGTATTTTGCTCTGATTTCCAACTTGGTAGTTGCATTATATGCTGCTACTTACCTGAACAGAAAATCCATCAAGCCAAAAGAATATCAGGCTTTTTAAAAATGCAGGCTTCTGAACTACTACATCAACCTGACACAGAACAGCCACATTCTTTCCATTAAAATAACCCCACATCCATAAGAAAACGACTTAGAGAGCAAAACAAGAAGACACTAAAGCTTTTATCTAGATCTTCAGTAACAGATGACAAGCTAAACTATATGTCAGAGTGTACACAGGTCTGCTCTGAATTCCAGAGGAGAAAAGAATGTCATCTTTAGGCTGACTAAATAATGGATCACAAAACATCAGAAATTTTCTTCTTAAACAATACGTGTGCATGCCCATTCTTTATAGTAAGCCACATGTTTTAAGATGTTTTAATTATTGCATTTTCATACTCCTTCAGCCAAAAACTATGTAAAACTCAAACACTGCTCAAGTTCAGTGATATAAATGTATTTCCTACTCACAATCTGCAAGAAGCTCAACTCTGCCTCCTGCAGCAGCAGCATCAATACAACTAGTGACCAAATTCTAACTCTGGAAATTTTACTCATGACAGCAAATAAATTTTCAAATTTTAGTTCTGTACTATCATGGCTTGAATAAAAAGTGTTTTTTTTTCCTTAAGCAGCATTAATGGTTACTAAATACAGGTGTCCAAAGACAATATCCAGCTCCAGAACCATAAAAACTGCTGTTAGTCACTTAATGGGTGACATATTTCTTTGTCATTAGCAGTAGGGACAAAGTCCTGCCCTCAGTGAAGCAATGAACTATTCCAGCCTAGTTTCCATCCTCACCATCACCACTTACAGAATACTGAACCATAAAGACCTATAATCTGAACCAGTAGAATAGTATTAAAGGAGAAACATTACAACTTGAAGTAAGAATGAGTAACTATAAACCCACAGTATTTATGTTTTGTGGGATTGCCTCTACTGCAGTCAGTAGCAATTCTGAAATTAAAGGAAGATGCTTCCTTATCCAGATAATATTGTTTACTCCTAAGACTAAAGTCATATTAATTGAACCTAAAAAGCTTACAAATATTTTTCTTGTGACTATCACCTTCTAACTATTACATCACATCCAACATGAGGTAGAATTTATCTCTGCTTTGATACATGCTTTCATCTCTCACAGGCTACATTGCAAAACAGTTCTGAAGTAAGCCTGCACATGTCCTGACTCCTGTTCTATCTCGTGAATCAGAAAAAAAACAACTTACAGAGCTGTTTTCAAACATTCATGGAAACTCTGGAGACTCGGGACAGCATTGCTTTCTTATTACCTGATCACGATCACCTGCAAAACAGCAGCTTTTCATGGTACACGAGTTGAAGTACCCTTGGTTGTCAAACTGGAAGACAGGCAAGCGGCAGTGGATGTCATAGAGGACTGGGGGAAGGCGACGCCGCAGAGCCAGCAGCTGGGTCCCATTGCTGTTGAACCGGACGCTCATGGCACTCTGAAGGGAGAGATTCCCACCATACCGGAGCAGTGAGCTGAGAAAAGACAGAGGAAACAAGTGAGATGGGCCACACATAAGAACTGAACTAGTTAAAAGACAGAACTCTTATTTTTGACCTGAGCAATTTCAAACAAACAAGCTCAGTAAGCTGTAATCTAATTTAGATTCTGCTTCAAAGTATCAGTTCCTGAACAAACATGATTGAAAACCTGAATAACAAACTATCAAAATGCTAAGACAATAAGGTCTTCAGAAGAATTAAGACTGCAAGTAGTTTTGTTAATAACAACTACATTTCCTGCACAGGAGCAAAGTCTCAGAGTAGGCTGTTCTTGTACTTCTGGGATGACTGCATTTGAGACTGACCCTACCAGCCTTCAGCTCTTTTTGTTCAGCTGGTGCCTGAATCCAGCAAGCCCAAACTTTTTTTTCCTCTGCTCTGGCACTGGATGGCACTTTCTCCAATTATAGATACTCCGACCATTATCTCACTTCTGTTTTATTTACATTTCTACAGGGCATCAAAGGATGTTTGAACTCTACAATCAGTTGCAGCTGTTGTAAATAAAGAGCCATCTTATTAAAAAGTTATTGTAAGAAATCCTAAAATAAGTCACTTAGCTAATCTCAAACTTGCTTAAATATAAAAATATTGCTAAGTAGGCAAGACCATTGTTACCACATGTTACCACACTACACTATTATCTAAAACTCTCACATGGTTGAATTAGCTAGCTTCCTTGTCCCATATAAGGCTGCACGACCAGAGCTGGAGTATTTGTCTCAGTCTTTATCGACACACATATGATAAAAAACAAGGGTCACAAGTTTCCAGGCTCTGTCTCTAAACCAGTAACAGAATATGGAATTTGTTCCACCCATGAACCTAAAGATAATCAAAGCATACCTGAAATTCAACTTGCATTGTATGGGCTGTTGTTTTTTTTTTCAAAGCCTTAATTCAAAGCCTGTACTTGAAATGATCGTGTGTATGGAATGGGAAACAGAGAAGGAAGACACCCCTTTTCTGTTTAGTGATCACTGAAACCTCCTTAAGCAGTAACAGAAATCAACCTTTTGTTAACAGGTTTTGAGTAATCCCCATCAAATCTTGGTATGAGCTGTGACTTTTATGCACCTTCTAGACCAGACAAGGCATGCCAGCACACAACCGGCAGATTCTAGAGGGAAGTTCACAAGCAGCTTTTAACGCGTTATACTTTCTGATGTAGCCCTCTGCCCCTGCATTTGTGAAAAATGAGTCACTCCACATGGATGGGAAGCCACATTCCACACAGGCTGAAGCATGCATCATTACATGAGATACTGTAAAGGTAAAAAACTATTGTTCCTAAGCCAGAGTTTAACAGAACCAAAAACAAAATACAAGACTCCACATAATGACTGCACTAGAAATACACTGCACTCACACATGAACACTTTGTGAACAGAACAGGCAATACCAGGGTGCCACAAAGGAACCAGAAATTACATTTTCAAAGCCAACTAGAATGAGCTTCAAGCTGGGCACCAAAACTTCTGAACAGCTGTATCAGCATGAAGAGTCCTGCTCTCTCATTTGTGGGCATTCTCCTCCTCCTACAAAGCCACTGAGCTTCTCTTAATAGTATTTATGGTTTTTAATAAAAATACAAGAAAATTTATTACTAGAAACTGCAACCTTAGAGACAGGGATTTAGAATCCACCTCAACAGCCCTAGTATCTGTTCATCAACACCAAAAAGCATTCAGCAAGCTGAAAATGCAATCAGGCATTAGAAAAAAAAAAAGCACACCAAAAAAATATCCCAAAACATTCCCAACTTTCCCCCTCCTCCTCTCCTGATAGGTTTGTGTAAGCCAGAATTTCTTTCTATGGAAGTTTCCACTTACTGCTAACTTCAGCAAATGCAGTTAGAAGAGACTTAACTGAAAATTACTAGAAAGAAAATTATTTCTGTCCTTGCTCAAATCAAAACCCAACCAAAATTCTAATCAAAATAACATGCACAAGAAATAAACCCAAACTTTTTTGGCTATGAAAGGCAAATTTTTCTACAAAAATATTCATGTTCTCCACCATGGATAAGAACACTGCAACACACAACCAGATTTAATGTCAAAGTGTACCACCACTGTACTGAGACTGAGCCTCTCTCCTCATTACCAGTCCTCCTCAACCTAAACCACAACCTGGAATTCTCTCATGCCTACAAGTAAGCAAGCCTACCAGATGCCCCATCCTTTCAACTCTTCAAGCAGTGTTTCCATAGTTACTATTATTATGCCCTGCCTGAAATTTTTTGAAAATATATTTTATAGTAATAGTAGTGTAATATTAATCTAGCTTCCATTCTACTTACAGATGTTTTCATTAAGCTTCTATAGCAAAGATAGCAAATAAAACACCCCTTGAATTCTGTATCGTGCTTCAGTAACTTTAGTGTAACAAAGCTCTAAAAGAATATTTTACTTCAGAAATTAAATGAAGCAAGAAAAACTAGAACTTCAGAAATTATGATCAGATAAACAAAGAAGTCTAGAACAAAGTAGCTGACCAGTTAAGATCCCCCAAAAGATCCACAGCTTTGCCTATCACAAACTCTCACCCTGCACAATTCAGTCACACCTGTAATGGATATACAGTTTGTGCTGCAGTTCCTTGAACATTTGGCTCAAAGGAAAAAGAATACAAACAAACCCAAACCAAACAAAACCCCAAAACCTAAATCCCACACTAATAAAAGAGGTAGTGGGCTAAGTTTGACTGACAGAGAAAGAAATGCTAAAACAGCCATTTTCCATTCATATAAAGAGCAACATGCTGATGACCTTCCCCACTTGCCTCAATTCTGTCCCAAAAAATCAGACTCTATAGGTTCCAAGTGTAGGATGCTGCTGAACTAATCACAATGCAATGGTTTTTTGTCTTCACCACCCTGATGTGTCCTGCTCACTTCCTCTCTGCCTCTTTGAAGGACTGGTTGAACTAAGTGCAGTGTTTTCCATTAATAAGCTATGAAAAGAGGTAGGGATGAAGAGAGATGAGCTGACACTAAAAACCCCCAAACATCCATTTCCTGACCCAAACAGAGAAGAAATATTTGCTCTCTCTCTACTCCTACAAGAGAATGTCTGAGAGATATGGTCAGAAATATGATGGGGGAAAGTGGAAGGTATGGAGGGAGTGCAGCTCACGGCTCTATCTTGGTGGAAAAGCTAGGAACCTGGCTCACAAACAATGGACATAAAGGATTTGAGGAAACTCTCTTCCACTGAACTCCTACTGCAGGCAGTACACATGGTAGCACTGAGGAACCCCAAGACTTCAGTATTTCCCATTATAAAATTTAGTTGATTATAGAACCATGCTGGCTTTAGGAAAAACAAACCAGAAATTGCCTGATAAGTCTTCTACAGCATTCCATCTCAATCAAGAGTTGCAGGAAAAAAAGCAGTCATCTATCTCCAACAAAGAAGCTGGGGGAAGTTACGTTATATTTTAGAGGAATAAACTAGTACTAATACACATCAGTACTAAAGATGATGTCTGAATCAAGTAGCTCTAAAAAACTTCTAATCAATCAGAACCAAATCTTTTGCTCACTTCCTTTTTTTTTGGAGCGGGGAGGGAACATGAAGGGCTGTGTTTAAGCATGTTCAATGTTCAAATTACTATCTCCACTTTACCAGTTGCATGATAGTTCTGTTCTGTAGCTTTAGTCAGTGCTACTTTTGGATTTTTCACACAGGATTATGTGGGGCACTGTAGATATGCTTGGACACGTTGCTCATGTTAGAACTGCCACTTCTGCCTGCTCGTTTAGTGCATGCTCCAGCAAGGGAATTCCAGAGGCAACACCTTCTTGCAGTTTCTAAAAAGCCTACTGATGCATCAAACTAACACACTCTGCTTAAAGATACACGACAGCTAGAGAGAAATCTGAAAATAATCCTAAAGGGGCATCTCTGAACAAGATGGATGCCTTTTCTGCCAGAAGCATTATCTTTCAGAATCCAGACCCAGACTACTCTGCGATTTAGCCCATTTCCAAATTTGGCTCACCCAGGCAGCCATGGAATGTTGATGCTGCCTACCAGTTCTGGAAGCAATATAGAGACACATACACTTCTGAGTTTTCAAAAAAAGTGATCTTGTACTACTAAGAGAAATATTTACTGCACAGACGGAGCATTACAATCCAAACACACATGCTGGAGCTAGAGGAGAGCTGAGGAGGGCAAGAATGGACAGTTATGTGCAATACAGTCATTTCCGTAGCTGGATATGCTCCACACAGGCAGCACTCAAGTGTTAACTAAATACCAGCTCAGCCAAACAATGGAAGGCTTTCAATCCAAGAGTAGCACCACTAATGTAAATAAATCCATTTCTACTGGCAGCTAGTGGGGTGAGGGAAGCAGTCTCACTGCAGTCTCACTGCACGCAGAATTTTCAGAAAAAGTCTGTACCTGAAGCAAGCATTTCCATCTCCTCTACTCTCTCTTTTTTGAAACAAAGAAGTTGTTTCACCCTTTTCTGAAAAGCTGTCTGCCTGAGCAGTAACATAAGCTTAACCCAGGCCATTCAAAAGTTAGTTTGGCAACAGACACTGGCCATTAAAACTGAGAGAAGATTAGTGTCTTGGTAGAAATAAAAGCAGCATACATGAGAGCATTAAATAGAACCATTAAATAAAACCCTTGAATAGCTTCTCTTGATAAGCTGCAAAATCGGACAACAATCTGCAGTACAGACACTGTCCTTGGGAAATTATTGTCATATAAGAGGGAGAAGGAAGGAAGGAAGGAAGGGAGAAAGTCTTGATATCATAAACAGCAGTGTGTGAAACTAACTTAATGAAAGAATGACCTTAAAAGGAAAAAATGAATTGAATGCTCGTAACTAATACACACCATTACATACAACTGTGTTTGTCAGCATTTCTGTAACCACAAAATTGAGGAACTTCTAACTGTGCAAAAAGAACTGGAATTAAACTTGGCAAACAGAATCTTGGCCTGCAAAACTGT